GCTGCGGGCTGCTCCCGCGCCGCGCCGGCCGAGGGCCAGCGGGAGCAAAGCGCCTGCGTGTTCCCGGCGCGCTCGCTCCCACTCGCGTCGCGCCCGGCCGGAGGAAGCCCCGGCCGAGCGCCCGATCCCGGGACGCCTTTTCCTGCGCCCGCAGCCCCCGCCTCCCACCTGGGAGGGCTGCACCTCCAGCCGCCACCGCCGCCGGCACTGCAGCACGCCCTCCTCCCTCGGGGCTGCGCCGGGTAAATGCAAGCCGGGTCCGTGCTGCCCCCTGCCGGCCTATGCGCCCCCTGCTGCTGTAGGTGTGCTCACGTGTGTACACGTAGGTGAGCACACACGTGTTTCCGGGCGCCCAGGACCCTGGAGACGTCCTGGAGGTACCCCTCCTCGCTGGGCTAAAGAAAATAAGTCTGCCTTCCTTCTGGGAAAACCTGCCCCAGGAGCAAAGAAAGACCCTTCTTCTGGGGATTTAAATAAAATCAAAACAGTACAGTTTCCCCTCCTGGAGAAAGAAAGGGGGACTAGGTGACCCACAAGGTTCCTGATACTTGATTAAGATCAGTTTAAGATCTCAGAGCTGGCAGCTGCTTTAGTCTCCCAGTCCAATGGACTCGTTCCAAATAAGGAAATCGAGGCCTGCGAGGAGGGGAAGTACTTTTCCAAAATATTCCTTAGGAGACACCGTGCTCGCTCATGCCCAGTATTAAGCAATGGCCTGCATAAGCAATCATAGCCCAGAAGGCTGGTCAAGGCTGGACAGACTTCTGGCAAGCAAAGAACTGGGACCATAGGACACGTGGAGGGAACTCTCTCAAGACAGAGGGAATTGCTTACAAGCAGTGCCCACAGGTTCATGGTCTGTACCACAGACATGGGTTGCTCCGCTCTGCTGAGTGAGGGATGTGGGAGATGAGGCTGAAAGCAGGCCAGGCCTTTTGGGAAAAATAATGCTACTGGCCCTTGATCTTGTGCCTGACATGGTACTAAGCCCTTTCCGTTCATCATTTTTTAGTCTCATAATAGCCTGCTTCCACAGACTTCCTTATCCTGATTGTATGAGAAGGAAATGGAAGTTTAGAGAGCTTGAGAGACTGGCATACAGACTGGGTTCCATGGAGAGCTGTTGCTGGAACATGTAACCTGATAGGCAAGCAAGTGACAATCTCAAAGCTTTGGGGGAAGCAGTGGTTTCAGCAAAAGGGACAAAGAAGGAGGGGTGAATTTAGGAGTCATCCAGACAGTCATTAAAAATCAGGTGTCCTAGGCAATTTCATGGTTGATATCTTCATTAATCCTTATTCCAACCCTCCAAGGCAGTTCTGTTTATCCCCATTCACTTACACAGATTTGGGAGCTTAGAGAGGTAATGTTTGCCCAAGGTCCCAGAGCTGCTGAGTGACAGCAGCTAGTACCCTCACTTGTGGACTGTCATTCTATGACATTATGGGGACCACCCATACAACAGTATACTCTGAGAGGTATCTACATGGGCCATTAGATACCCACTCTCTCACCCCATGACTAAATTTACTAGCTACTATTTACAAGCTGGTATAGCCCATGTCAGATGACTGGTTTTTAAGGATGACACACGTCCTACACTATGTCCCAGGAATACTATGGTAGACTGAATCATGGCGACTCAAAGATGTCTGCCTCTGTGTTTTATGTTTTCAGTATTGTGTTTCACCACATATGGTAAAAGGGACTTTGGTATATGATTAAGGTAAGGAGGCTGAGGTGGGGGAATTAACCTGCTGTTAACCTGGTGGAATCACCAGGGACCTTATTAGAAGAAAGTGCCATGACAGAGGGAGCAACTGTCAAAGGGTCCAGAAGTGAACAGGTACAGGCTGCCTCTAGAAGCTAGAGACAGTAAGGAGCAATTATGCTCTAGAGATTCTAGAAGGAATGCAACCTTGATTTTAGCCTGTAAGATCCACCTCAGCCTCTAGAATGAGAAAATAATATTTTTATGTTGTTTTAAGTCCCTGCATTTGTGGCTCTGTATTCCAACCAAGTAGGAACTAATGCAAGAACTGCCGATAATATCAGTTTGGAGCATCACAACTTTCGAAGGCCCCCTACTTCTGTGATCCTTTGGAACCCTCACTTGCCACCCATCTCGTAAGCATCATTTGGATGTGTGTCTGTGCATAGCTATTTTCTTGCTGCACTCCAGGTTCCCAGAGGACAAGATGTTTTCTTATTCCTCAGTGTATTCCCATCCAGCACCTAGCCTGGGCTGATAAGTAGTAAGCATTCATAAATGCTTGTTGAATAAATGCAGGATCCCATTTCATCTTCCCAATGACTCCATAGGGCACATGTTGTGATTACCTTTTAGAGAAGAGGAGAATGAAGATGAGCGATGACCTGATTCCCACACTCCTAGCTCCTGAGTCCAGATCCAGTGTGCTGACAGTGTCATCTTGAACTCCATGGGGACTCTTATGTGTCAGGTCCTGTCCCCTAGCAGATCTCACCCTATCCTCATCACAATAGTGATTCAGCATTGTTCTCTATTACATGGAGGAGAAAGCCAGGCCCTGGTAGTCCTTTAATGAAAGTTCATGTCACCAAAGTTTCAGCCTTGGAATTTCAACATTCAATGAGCTAGTTTGCTTTTTATCTGTTTACAGGATTGTGTTTCAATAACTTCCAGGCTGGCTTTAAACCCACAAAGATCTGCCTGCCTCTGCCTCCCAAGTACTGGGACTACAGGCATGCACCACCACACCCAGCTCTAACTTCCCTTAATTGTTGTCTTCAGACCCCAAAAGGTCCTAAACTCCTTTTATATTTTCTTGCTTCATGTGTGTTTTGCCTGCATATATGTGTGTACCTGTGTCATGTATTGCCCAAAGATGCCAGAAGAGGGCGTCAGATCTGCTGGAAATGGAGTTTTGGATGGTTGTTAGCTGCCATGTGGGTGCTAGGAACCAAATCCAGGTCCTTTCCTAGAGCAACCAGTGTTCTTAACTGCTGAGAACATCTCTCCAGCCCCAAGTCCCTAACTTTTATCTAAAGTCTATAAACAGCCCTTCAAATATTTTTATTTTAATTATGTATTTTTTAAATTATGTTCTAAGGTTTCATTTTTAATTATATGTGTTTTATTATGTGCACACGAGTGCAGTGCCTATAGAGGCCAGAGGTGATGGATCCTTGGGAGCTGGAGTTATAGGCAGTTGTGAGCCAATGTGGGTATTGGAACTAGAACTCAAGTCCCCTGGAAGAGCAGTATATGCTCTTAATCACTGAGTCATCTTTCCAGCTCCCCTAAAATATTTTAATGGCCTTTTCTTGGACCTCTTTTATGCCTAATATGAATCAGCTAAAGCTGCACACAAACCAATCCATCATTCTTATTTGTATGTTTGTGTGTCTGTGTCCGTGTGTATGTGTGCACATATATATTCATGTAGAGGCCAGAAGTTTATGTTGGGGAGTCTTCCTCCATTGCTCTCTACCTAATTTTTTGAGACAGGGGCTCTCACTGAACCTGGAGTTACTGATGCACTAGACTGACTGGCCAGCAAGCCCCAGAGATCTTCCTGTTTCCATTTCCTTAGTTTTGGGATTAGAGGCACGTTACCACATCTAATGTGGTTTACATGGATTCTGGGGCTAGAACTCAGGCCCTCATGCTTGTGTGACAAGCACTTTACTGACTGGATCATCTCCACAGCTCCCTAATGAATCACTTTTTAATAAACTTTTTCATCCTTAAACTATTAGAACCCCATTGCTATGATCTGAGTGTGTGTCCCCTCAAAACTCATGAATTCACATTCTAATCCCCAAAGATTCAGGGGAGTGGAGCCTTTGGGAAATAATTAATTTGTGAGGACTGTACCTCACAAGTTTCATAAATGAAATTAATGCCTTTGTAAGAGAACTCAGAGACTCCCTTGACCATTTGACCAAGCGATGACACAAAGAGGTGTCACCTGTGTAGCAGACAACAGACTCTCACCAAATAACTCATCTGTTGGTGCCTTAATCTTGGGCTTCCCAGCCTCCAGTAATCAGGAGCAAATTTCTGTTGTTTATAAAACCACCCAGCTTGTGGCATTTTGTTGTAGCACATAAGATGTACTAGATTAAGACATCAGTATTTCTCCTGCCTTTCTGCCCAGAGCTATGTCAGATGATCCTTCAGAAAAGTCTACTCCAACTTCCTGGTCCTTTCCTGGGTCATAAGCAGTGACTTTCCCTTACATTTATGGGTATCATTTGCAGTAGGACTGTGGCATCACCTTCTTGCCATCTTCTTGGTACAACTCAGCTTCTATTTCTCAGCTCAAGAGCACCTACCACTGTGCTTCCTTCCCATTGCTACACAGGAGTTTGGGGCATCAACAAACCATGTCATTTCCTCTATACCTCTTTCCTCCAGGGTAACTGTGCCATTAATTAAATAGCCTTTAGCCTTATTTCTAAGGAACTTCTTTTTAGAAATGTGCCATTTGGCTCAACCTTTGTTTCTTGGCTCATTTTAGAGACTCAACAAAATTGTGCTCGCATCCTGTTTGGTTCCTTCCCCTCCCCAGTAGAACAAAATTACACTTTAATATAT